TGATGTTAAGCATCGGGGAAGTTCTACAAGTCCCTGCAAAGGCACAAATGAACGAGGAGTGTGATGAAGTTCCCCCACGAGATGTGTGACGGCGGCGTGAAGAGCTGGACTGCCAATAACCTGTAGAGACTGGTGCAGAAGGTGTGCTCTTTTGTCATACAATGACTGTGCTGACCCCCACCGTGAATGCTGGTGGAGTTGTAGGACAGGGCTGTTCCTTTCTCAGCCTCTTAAGACTTCTTCTAGACCGACTTTTCCTCTGAGACCTCCTAGATGGCAAAAAGTTGATGTGGTCTGTAAGGTCTGTGAATACCCTGGGGACATAGGAGGGGGCACTGGGACACTGAGTGGCTTCAAATTCTAAACCACACAGTGTTTGCTGCAAAAAAAAAAACCCAGAAGGGATTGAAGGACACTCAGCAGTATCTGCCCTTTTGATCTTTGGAGGCATTTGGTGTGCAGTAAACATATAATCACTGGTTTGCCAAAAGGTTGATTAAAAAAACACTAGAGTTCAGCAATCTACACGCGTGAGAGGCAAAGGTGGTGGATGTATCAGATAAGGCCCATCTGTTTCTATTAGAAAAGCTTTGGCCGCTTTGTCACCGTTGAGCAGGACCTGCCAAGCCACCACAGGTCCTTCAGGCTCATCGAGACTGATTTTCTTCTCAGATCTCACACAGCCATCACCAAGGCACAATCTTCTGAGGCACAGAGATGGTGCTACTCAGCCCAAGAGTCCAGAACCTGCAACATTCCTGCTGAGTCTAGCTTTGGAAATACCCATGTGTGAAGGAGCAAAGTCATTGACAAAGATAGAAGTGGTCAGGCAGCAAGGGTGCCCCAGGACAGAAGCATGACGTGCATTTCTCTGGAAACACCAGACCCTACACAGAAAATGGAAAGTGAGGAAGAAAGTGAGAGAAAAATGACTTCTTTCATGAATATTTGCCTAACTCACCCCAAACAGGACCTTGACTCCTATCTGCAACACAAAATTCCACCCTTGTGAACACAGAAGTCTGTCAGAGCACGAATTAAAAACAGAACACGACCCACCTGAGATAGCTTCTTGTGAGCACAGTTAACTCCTCCAATTACGATGATGTTGGGCATTAAAGGTCTTGGATAGTCTAACACAAAATCTAACCTCATGAGCCAAATGGAAGCCTGGCGTAAAAGATCCGGCACAGTCACCTCCCTCTGGAGGAACTCAGAAGCCAGTTTTGCGTAGGGTTGAAAAGCAAAATCACAGAGAAATAAGTTTGGGATGTCAAAGAGCAGATTCTTCACTCGCTGGAAAAAGTCCATGCGGTCTGTATAGGACGTAAATATTCTGGGCACATAAGAAGGAGGGCTGGGGCATTGAGCGGCTTCAAAATCTAAACCACATGGTATTCCTCGTAAAAAAAACACGGAAGGGATCAAAAGATGTTCAGCCAATATTTGCCCGCAGGGTAGTACAGGGTCTGTAAGGACAGCATCGAACTTGCTCTCCTCGAGATATCTGACAAGCTCTTTGTTGTTCAGTAAGTGTTCACAGCTGGAGACTCCCAAATAAGCCACTTTTTTCATATGTTGGTATATTTTAAGGAATCTTTCTAGAAAAGAACCTTCTTCAAGTACATCTTGTATAAATGCCCGGAAATTTTCATCCATCTCTTCCATTGTGAAAGGGACTGGGTACGTCTTCATCACAACGTTCTTCGTTGGCTTTATGTACATGCTGACTTCGGGTGCGACGACGACCACCTCGTGCCCCTTCTGCCTGAGTCCATCCAACACCTCCCTCATGCTCAGCCAATGACTCCCATCCACCGGTATCACCAGCAGCTTCCCACCAGCAGCCAAACCCAGCATGGACAGGAGAAGAACCAGCATCGCCGTGACTTGGGGACGAGCACTAAGCACCGGGGCCATTTCTGCAGAAATCTGGTGAGCGCTGCCCGGGAAGAAATCCTCTGGCAGCACTGAAGCACCAGCTCCAGCTCTGCCCTTTAAAGCCATCTGTGGGACAGCCCAACTTTTGATCCTTCAAGTTATTTGCTGTGTGGTCAATGGATAATCATTAATTTGACCACAGGCTGCGTAATAAGCATTTAATTCCAGCCAAGGCCACGGGTTGGCGGTGTTTGATGGACCCACCAAGGAACCCCCATCTGTTCCTCTTAGAGGAGCAGTAGAGAGTGTCCCGGGAAGGAGGCTGGGGTGGCTCTGGGTGGGACTTCTGAGATCTTCCCTCTGGCTGTACTTTTTGCAAGTGCAGGAGATGTGTCCCATCCACATCACCAGGCTGCTCCCTTCCCTCTGGCACGACCTGCCCCATTTCACTCATCTCCAGGAGGTCTATGGCCCCCATAGCATTGTGGAAGGGCTGTTTAAGTTTGTCTCTAGACTGAGAAGACTGATGAAGGTGGAGGCAGGATGCCAGGTTTGTCTGCTGGACACATCACCTGCACTACACTGTCCTTCCAGTACCTGAGACCTGCCTCAGGGGATTGGAGGGGTTGGCTTTGTGGTGGCAGAAAAAGCAGAGATGTCTGAACACTCTTTGAGGGGCACTTCTCCTGAAACAATTGAGTGCCTAATTCTGTCACTGGCAAATCTTGCATGGTGTCCAGCAGCAGTGGGATTGTATGAAAGCTCAGGTGGCAAATTACGGTGTGCAAGGGGGTGTCTGTAAGACGCCACAGCTACCTCTGCCACTTGGAGATGGATGGATGGATGGATGGATGGATGGAAATCCCACATAGACCTTACCCCATAGCACACAAGTCCCGAATATTATGATTGGAGATAAAGCCAGGACACCAAAAAGAATAGCCCAATTCTCCAGGCTCTCCCACAAAGCAGGAGAGGAGGCTTTTCAGTAAGAACTGTGTGCGTTGCTGTCTTCTGTGTCTGAGGCACTCAAGCCACATCTGAGAGGTTAGCATTATCACCAGGGCTGCATCCATCCCCTCACTGCTAGTCACACTGTGCTGGATGTTTTCAAATGGAGACAAATTCATTAGGACTGGGGTTTTGAGCCCAGACAGATCTTTTAAGATTTTGAAGGCTGTCTCATCATGCTTGTAAAACAAATACTGCACCTCTGGCTTACTGTCCAGAACCACTTTGTCTGGTGGAGAGACCGTCCCATCACAGACCTTCACTAGAAGAGTTTCTCTTCAACTGAGCATACTTTATAAATGAAGAGATACAGCTGTCTGCACAGAAAACGGAAAGTGAGGAAGAAAGTGAGAGAAAAATGACTTCTTTCATGAATATTTGCCTAACTCACCCCAAACAGGACCTTGACTCCTATCCGCAACACAAAATTCCACCCTTGTGAACACACAAGTCTGTCAGAGCACGAATTAAAAACAGAGCACGACCCACCTGAGATAGCTTCTTGTGAGCACAGTTAACTCCTCCAACTACGATGACGTTGGGCATTAAAGGTCTTGGATAGTCTAACACAAAATCTAACCTCATGAGCCAAATGGAAGCCTGGTGTAAAAGATCCGGCACAGTCACCTCCCTCTGGAGGAACTCAGAAGCCAGTTTTGCGTAGGGTTGAAAGACAAAATCGCAGAGAAATAAGTTTGGGATGTCAGCGAGCAGATTCTTCACTCTCTGGAAAAAGTTCATGCGGTCTGTATTCCCTGTGAATACCCTGGGGACATAAGAAGGAGGGCTGGGGCATTGAGCGGCATCAAAATCTAAACCACATGGCATTACCCTCAAAAAAAACACGGAAGGGATCGAAAGATGTTCAGCCAATATTTGCCCACAGGGTACTACAGGGTCTGTAAATACAGCATCAAACTTGCTCTCCTCGAGATATCTGACAAGCTCTTTGTTGTTCAGTAAGTGCTCACAGGTAGAGGATGATATGGCAGAGATGTTTTTCAGTCTTCGGTATACTTTAAGAAATCTTTCCAGAAAAGATCCTTCTTCAAACACTTCCCGGGAAAAAGAATGGACACTTGCATCCACCTCTTCCTTTGTGAAAGGTATTGGGTACAATTTCATGATAAAATTCTCTGATGGTTTTATATGTATGCTTATTTCAGGCGCAACGACGACTACCTCGTGCCCCTTCTCCCTGAGTCCATCCAACACCTCCCTCATGCTCAGCCAACGACTCCCATCCACCGGTATCACCAGCAGCTTCCCACCAGCAGCCAAACCCAGCA